ATGTAAATTTATATATGTATGTATATGCCGTTGTGTATTTATCTTAGATAATTTATGTGTACATGTATATAGAATAACACCTGCAATGCTAACGATTTGTAATTTTTATAATTTTACATAATTCADTACTACTACATATGTATGTATGGATTACTTTCGGTAGGTGTGGGTGTGCGTTGCGCTTGAGCACAAGTCATGAGCCTAATGCAGATGATATTTTCGAAGCGATAGCGCTTACAATGAAAAGAAAAAATAAATGGAAAATCAAATAATTATTTTGGATAGATGGAATATATTATTTTTGTTTTATTGCATGGCGATAGAGGACAGTATTTCAAAAAAATTATAAAACAAAAATAAATTTGCGAATTATGTAAATCGGTCATAAACTAAAATTATAAATTCCACTRAAGCACTTTTCGGAATACCAAAACTCTTTCGGAGTGTTAAAATTTATCGTAATTTTGCATATATTCTTGCAGCTTATAGAAAAATTCGAAATTTTGTATTCAAAATTGAATGGCATCAACTTTCCGGGGTCTAAAAGGTTTTTTGGAGCGCTAAAATTTTGCGTAATTTTGCATATATGAATTCAGCGTATARAAAGATTTTGAAATTTTGTTTTGGAAATAATTATTTGAATTTCAGAGTGCCAAAAGCCTATTCGGAGTTAAGAATTTATATATTTTTTTTTGTTGCAAAATTTTGTATGCACTAAAGTCTTTTTGAAAGCAGCACTTTTCGGAGTATCAAAACTTTTTTGGAGTTTTATTGAATGGTATTAATCCATTTTAGGTTTGTTTAAGTATGTCGGAACAATTAAAGCAAAATTTGCAAATTTGAACTAAAGTACAAAATTTAACAAAATTCGGAAAATATTAAAATTTTACATTTACAAAATTTTAGAAAGTATAACGTTTATGTATTTCTTATAATATTATTATTTTTTTCTTTGATTTAAAATTTATAAATACATAGAAAGTTAGCTCATTTAGCGATAAGATAGCCAATACTTGCAGCTTTCATTAATTCATCAAATAAAATTACTCCGAAACATTTACAAAATAACTTACAGCAGAAACTTTGTGCACGCTAGTACTGYTGCTTCAGAAGGAACATCAGCGAAAGTATATAATTAGGCTTTGAAAAATTTCGTGCGTGGTCTTTCGGAGTAACACAAATTTACATTTTCGCGAAGAATTAGGAACATACACGTTTAACAACGGAKTCAGATTGTGAAAGAAAACTTTCGGAGTATTTGAAGACTTTCGGAGTTACTCGTATTTAATTTTTGTGAAATATTAAGACCATACATAAATCCTTAACACCAGAATAAAACTTTGAAAAATATAATTATGAATTTTCGGAGTTACACATATTTGCAACAACTAGGAACATAAATGTTTAACAACAGAATCAGACTGTAAAAAAAATTATTTCGGTGCTTCGGAGTTACGCCTATTCGCAATTTTCMGACAAACTAAGAACACACACATTTACCATCACTTCAATTGACACAATTGCTGAAGCTCATGACTTTTGGGGTGGGTAMACATTTCGTTTGCAATGCTAAAGCGTAGCGCCACTCACACCTAACTGCCGTCGTATTCTTTGGTCTGCGGTTATTTTATTATAAACTGTTGTATATTTAATTAACATTTGATTTTTTTTTTAATATTAACACTCTTTATACAATCATTTAATTTAGTAATTACATAAATGTCGAAAATATTTTGCCACATTTCAGTTA